GTGTGGAGGCTGGGTGTGTGTGGAGCAGAACTGCCCCACATGGCTCGCTGGCGGTGCACCAGAACTTTTCTGCAGTAAACCACCAACCTTTAGGTTAATCAGTTGAGCACAAACTGTTTGAGGCGCCTTGGGACCAGTTTTGTAGAGCCTTTGTCTTCCTGAATTAAAGTCAGCCCGTCTTCTTTTTCCCCCTCCTGATTTATTTTTCTAACATCACATATAAAACTGTTTTCGTTGCCTCGTAGAAATGGTGTTCTAAAATAAAATAGAATGTAATTAGATTTGTTGCCTGAAGCCATTGATAGACTCTGGCTCAAAGCCAGACTTGAGGAACCTTGGAGAAGAACCGGAAGAGGCTCTAGGGGTGCAGTATTTAAGTGCATGGCCATTGACCAAAAGGAGAGCAGTTGGGGGCCACAAAGATCACAGCCTGGGAACCCAGTGGGGCAGTTCCACCCTGGACGGGAGGGGCACTGGAGGAGCTAACTGCTGTGTACTGTGGCATGTCCAGTCATGCTGGGCCAGAATTGAACCAAGCCCCTGCCCTCTTGGGCTTTTCGTATAGGTTGCAGGAAGTCAAAGGCATGGCAGACCGCATCATCGGCATGCGGACCCAGCTGGTCTCCAACCTCAAGAAGGAGGGCTCCTCCCACAACTGGCAGCACATCACTGACCAAATTGGCATGTTTTGTTTCACGGGGCTCAAGCCTGAACAGGTGAGTAGACTCCACTCTGCCCGTGTCTGCCCAATGGAGTGGTCCATGCTAACCTTTTCAGGTTGCTCTAAACATTACTTCAGAGTCCTTTTACGTTAAGGGCAGCGTGTGTGGCGCTCATTTTGTTTGGGGTTTGTTGTTGTTATTGTTCATTGTGGCCCATCTGTACCCTCCACAAGATGCAGGCCTCCTCTCCAGCTGTTTCTCCAACGATCACCTGAATCACCTGCACCCAACCTGGGGCCTGATCATTGCTGTTCTGGGGGTGGGGGTAGCAATTTCATTTTCCACAAATGCTAACTCTTGAGACATTTTTTCCACCTGTTCACATCTCACACTTCATTTTCCTACTCGAAACTGTGGGGCCCTGGTGGCACAGTGGTTAACATGCTCTGCTATTAATCAGCAGGTCAACAGTTCAAAACCAACAGCAGCTGCTCTCGAGGTAAAAGATGTGGCAATCCACTTCTGAACAGAGAACGGCTCGAAGTCAGGGTCGGTGCAAGCGTTGGGTTGGGTTGGCCTTGAAAAGAGCTGCTGTGCTGGCTTCAGGAGCTCACCCACTAAAACTGGAACAGTACAGAGAAGACCGTGCCCCTGCACAAGGGTGGCAAGCAAATTCGTGCAGCATTCCACACCTTACAAAAAGGAAAGAGCTGCCTGCTCTTCCCTTCCTCTGAGCTAGCACTCCAACTTCTGGCCATGGGATTTGAGTCAAGAGTGGACTATTGTTTTCCGCAGCGAACCGATGGCTAATGGGGTGGAACAGTAACTCCAGGAGGGATGCGCTCCTTCAGGCACTCGCTCACACGGATGAGAAGAGCAGCGTGCTCAGGGATGCAGCGGGCAGCAATAAGCCCAGGAGTGGGAGGAGGCTTTCACTCTGTGTGGATGGATGGCCAGCAGGGTCGGGGAACAAAACGCGTCTGAATCGTTGAATGGGAAAACCAGTTGGCTCTGTAAACTTTCACCCAACTGTGAATTTTTATATTTCCCTTTTAATTTAAAACTCCAAGTTGGCTATTGTCCCTTGGCGGGGCTGGGGAATCCTGACCCAGGAAGGTGTGACCTTGCTCTCTTTCTACAGGTGGAGCGCCTGACCAAGGAGTTCTCCATCTACATGACAAAGGACGGCCGCATCTCTGTGGCTGGAGTCACCTCTGGCAACGTGGGCTACC